ACTGTGCTAAGTGTTAAGACAGTAAAGTGGTGTCACCTGGCATAGGGATTGGGGATCAGGGTGAGATAGAACAGGGTTTAGGGTTACCACGCAGAGGAAGGGGTGGAATGATAACGGATTGTGACCAGATAAGGGAATTTCAGAGTCTGAGAACATGAAGGTGGCGCATCTGTGGCCGATGGCCAGGTGTCTGTACGTGGCCGAGGTGGGTGGAGGAGCAGGGCATGGGCGAGGAACCAGCTGAGGAACTGGGAGGTTTGAGAGAGAATCACATGCAAGTGGAAGCCTCCCCAGGGTGAGGGCAGGGGCAGGCCAGGCAGGAAAGACTGGGAGTCCCACACTGGGCTGAGGAAAGAAGGGTGGGTCTGGAAGGGTAGGAGACAAGAGCCACCAGAACATGGTTCGGGTGGTAGCTAGGGATCGAGCGACCCTCCAAGGAGAGGTTCCTGAGTCATGGTGGATGAGGGCAAGCCTGGGAGTGGCCAAGGAGAGCAAGGAGTCATCCAGCTCTCCCACCATGAGGTGCCCTCAAGGGAAGGTTCAAGCAGGCCACCGACAGAGGGCAAGAGGGAGTGGTCTATCCCTCCTCCTGCAGGCCTAGGTGGGAGAATGGGGAAGGGAGTACGGTGAGTGGAGTGCCCTCCTTCCCTGTGCTCTCCCTCTTCTCCTCCCTCACCTGGGGCTCCCCTGGCATCCTGCAAGGCCAGCTAGAGTCCTGCCTTCTACACATCTTCTATCTTTCTGGGTCCCCAACATTCTCATCTTTTGTTGATTTTTTCCAATTGACTCCCTCAAGGACTGTGGGCTCCCATAGGGCATAGATGGTTCTCACCTTGCTTTGAACCCTCAGGGCTTAGCCCAGTACCTGGCACATAGTAAGCTTCAACTCATCCTGAAGTTAGCATTTCTAACCAGATTTTTAAAGAACCGGGCCACACTTGTATACATTCCCTGGTCTTGCTTCTATCTTCTGTATGTTTCTTTTTTAAGAATCTAGATTGGTTGGTAAATTCCCTATACATCCACATTGATCTCCTCAGACAAATGCCATTTTGGGGGCAGCTAGGTGGCACGTCGATAGAGCACTGGCCCTGGATTCAGGAGGACCTGCGTTCGAATCTGGCCTCAGACACATAACACTTACTAGCTGTGTGACCCTGGGCAAGTCACTTAACCCCATTGCCTAGCCAAAAACAAAAACAAACAGACAAATGCCATTTTTCTTCCTCATTGGAATTGCTTCCCCTCATGTCTTCAGAATTTCATTTATTAGCACCTCCCGTTCCTCCTCGACTGACTTCAGTAACGCCTTATTCCATGGAAAGCTGCCCTATCTTCCTTCAAGCTCTGCTTTCTCAAACTGTCCAAATATGCTCAGATGCTGTCTCAAAGTCTAGGATTGAGGCGGCTCTTCCCCCCATGTTTCCCTTCATTTCTACCGAAGTGACCAGGTCCTCCCTGTTAGTGAGAATTAATGCCAGCTTTCCTTGTTGGTTCCTTTGGAAGGGTGAAATTATCACTAAGGCAAATCCAGAAGTTATTGGCTGCTCTACTTAGGGCAGATTTCCAGTGTATGTGTGGATAACTGAGGCATCATGCCTCTGTTTTAGATCTGTGATGTTTACCTAACTGCTCATCTATTTATTTCCTTTTGGTCCAAGAGGACTGTCTGTTAAAAATCCTCCAATGACAAAATCACATCTCTCTCTCGTTTAACCTGCACCAAATGACTCTTCATAATGCTTGTCCCTCTGGTTTCTGGATTACTTCATGTGAGTATACCTTCTTCATATAAAATGCTACCCTACCTACCCCCTTTTACGCAGGCCCGTTCCTTTAAATAAAGTATACCCATTCAGAACCACATTTCTGTCACGGATTTCATCACACCAAATCTCAGTGATGCACGGGAAGCCACATTTGCCTCCTTGCATTATGATCTCTATTCTTCTTAATACTTGGAGTTCTGCATGCAGACTCTTGAGGATTTTACTACTGCCTCCTTTCTGGAACTTAGCCTCCTTTGAATTGATGAAGCTGCTCTTCTCCCTTCCTTGTGACTACACTCTCTAGTATCTAACTTGAAGGCTATACATAAGCAGTCTTTTTCCTCCCCACTCTTTTTATTTCAAAGCCCTTTTTATTAGATTTGCAAGACACTTGGTGAATGCATTTAATGGCCTTTGTTAAGGGCGTTCTCCCTCTGGCCAGGAATCTGTCAACCCTGTATCGTGAGCTATGGTCCAGAAATCCAAATCCCATTCTCAAACACCTGGCCACCTCTTCACTGCTCTGCATCCCTTACCTTCAATGTGCAAAAGTGAGGAAAACACTTTATGGTCTTCAGTTTCTTGCCCAAGGCTTAATAACCTTTGGTAATATTTAGATTCCTTCTGAAAGTGTCATCTGTCCTGACATGAACCACCAGAAGTATGTAGCTGACATCCAACACAATGATTTGGTTTTCTGTTCTGTTTTGGACGCATGGCGCAGGAAGACCACACAACTTTCTCTTGTTACCAGGTTGATAAATAGCTATCTCAGTACTGCAGGCAGGAAACCACCAACAAGTCTCTTCTTCTTCTGTCCCTTAACGGTTGAGCTTTCCCCTGAGATTTCTGTGGCCCTTTTACATCATTCTGGGGTGGACAAACAGTTTCTTCCTTCTTCAGAGCATCCTGCTTCCTCCTCTTTAGAGAGTCCAAGATCTGTTTTTAATATCCAATGGTACAGAACTCCCTGTTCTTAGTGCACACACACATGCACGCACGCGTGCGCACACACACACACACACACACACACACACTACCTCACTCTTCACTTGACCTTGCTACTCTATTAAACTATGATCCTATAACTTTTCTTCATTTTACAGTCAAATTCCTAGAAAGGAACGTTTATGCCCATGTCCTCTGCGTCCTCCTATACATGTGCCTTAGGTCACCTCCTGATTACCCTGACTTGCTCTCTGCTCATTTGGCATTCATATGGCCACCTTCTGGTGATGCCAGGTGAGGTGGACCTGAGCCGCCACTATAAGGATTCCTATTCTGTCTTCTCCTGCATTCCTTGTGATAAAATATGTAAAAAAAACCCAAACAAACAACAAAACAACCCAGTAAAGCTAGATGCTCCTAAAAACGAAACTGAAGAATGACCAATCTTTGTTCTGTAAAACGGATAGGGAAATAGATGACTAAAGGTTCAGAATTCTCAGTACATCAAAGTGATTCTCCGTCATTTTTAATCCATCTTCGTTATGGGGGTGGGGGTGGGATGGTAGGTTATATCAGCAAATGACCGAGGCATCAAAAAAACTCAGAAAATAGTAAAGATGAAGCTGGCAAGGCTTAAGTTAAAACTGTCGTGAGCCAGCTGCTGCTCATTTCCCTCCGTGACTTCTTCCCAGGTCTCAGAAGCAACAGTTAGGAGCTGGAGAGCTGGGCTTGTAGTGAAACAGATCTGGGCTTAAATCCCCCATCAGAAATTTATTAGCTGTACACTTCTGAGCAAGTCATTTAACCTCTCAGCTTAGTTTCCCATATGTAAAACAGAGACATAGCTGTAGAACTTACCTCACAGGGATGTTAAGTGTGCGACACATTTTGTAAGCCTGAAAGGGTTACTGTTGGTAACATTATTATGGTTTCTGCCACTCTCCCAAAGCTTTTCTTTAACATATTGGTTCCCATTGTAGGACTTAAAACTTATGATAGGGAAAAATACCAAAAGAAAATTGAGCCATGGGCTGAACCCTGGGAAACATGTACCTTAAGGACTTGGGGAAAGCTCAGGGAGCCAACAAAGGAGACAGAAAGGAGAGTTAAAGACAGGATGAGTACCAAGCAGATGTGGCATCTCTGAAGGAAAGAGAAGAGAGAATCTAGAAGGAGAGAAGAGGCATTCATGTCAAAAACTTCATGGATGAAAAGGAGGTAAAAGATGGTGAGGTCCGAAAAAAATGGGGGCATTATATTTGGTGTTTAGAAGATCACTGGGGATTTCAGAGACAAGTTTCAGTGGATTGACATGGAAAACAGGTTACAAGGTCTGGAGATGGTAGTTGGTGCAAAACTGGAGATCTTGGGTGGAGGTGGGGTTTTTTTTAAAGAATTTTCAAAACTGATGACAGGTAGGATCCCAGCTGGTGAGTGTAATAAGTCAAAGGCAGAATTTTTTTTTAAGAATTGGGAAGGTATCTTCACCTCAGGAAACAGACTAGTACTATGAAATGAAATGCCACATTCTGAAACAAGGACAAAGCTGACTGTGTGCCTGTCCTAGAAGAGAAAGTGCCTTTTAACTATTCATCCAAACAAATCAGCTGGGGGCTTCTTCTCTCTCCCATAAAGTCCCTTGAGTGGGGGGGCCGGAGAAGAATGGAGACAGGCTAGTGACAGGTCTTGCTTTGTATTGTCCATTATTACTTCTTGTGGGAATTTGCAAACCACTGGTTTTCTAGGAACTTGTTTGGATTCATGATCCTTTTTTTAAAAATAAAAAAAAAAGTATTGGGAAAGATGACCACGCCTAGTAGAAGAAAAGTGATCCCCAACTTCCTCCAGCTGTCTGCTACACCACAAAATCTATTGGGGGTCACTAGAATATTTAGGCTTAGTCACAGGATGCTCACAAAGCTGAAACCACAAAATGACTAAATAGTCTTGCTCTCAGAAAAGGTATATAATGGAAATCACTAGCACAGAGACTACAGGGGCATTCTCAGCAGTGACATGAACCAATGAAAAATGACTGAATGCCTAAAAGAGATTCCTTAGCAATAATCCCAAACATTCAGGAAGCTCATTGTTTTTTCCCCTGTAAAGAGGTCTGCAGTAGATTTCAATCAATACCTGTCCTAGACCAGTGGGCCTACAATTGCCACAGCAATAGTGGGAGAGAAGAAAATAAGAAGGGAAGGAGAGGGATGACAAGTCAAGAGACAAAGGGGCAGTAAAGTGGGGAGAGGTAGGGGCACTGGTGGGAGGGGAGAAGGGGGGCAAGAGATGGAGAGAAAGAGAGTGGGAGAGGGATAGGGAGAGACACACAAGACTTAAGGAGAGCGGGTCTAGGCCTCTGAACCCCTGATCAATCATTAGGAAGAGAGAAAGAATGAGAAGCTTCTGTTGTTCTGCTCAGTCTGCGGTAAAGGAAGGGTAGGTGCAACACCAAGGGGCTGTTTCTTTGTGGAAGGGAGAAAGGAAGGGGGCAGAATGATTTCTGTGCCTCGGCAGGAGGTCTCCCCACATTCATTATGTTTGTAAGGCTTATCTTCACTGTGAATTCTCTGATGTCGGGTAAGTTGTGTGCTCCAACAGAAGGCCTTCCCACATTTATCACATTCATAAGGCTTCTCTCCAGTGTGAATTCTCTGATGCTCGGTAAGATGTGTGTTCTGACGGAAAGCCTTCCCACGCTCATTACGTCTGTAAGGTTTCTCTCCAGTGTGAATTCTTTGATGTTGAGTAAGCTGTGTATTCTGACGGAAAGCCTTCCCACATTCATTACATTCGTAAGGTTTCTCACCAGTGTGAATTCTCTGGTGTTGAGTAAGTTGTGTGTTCCAGCGGAAAGCCTTCCCACATTTATCACATGCATACGGCTTCTCTCCAGTATGATTTCTCTGATGTTCGGTAAGGTGGGTGCTCTGGCGGAAGGCCTTTCCACATTCATTGCATTCATAAGGCTTCTCTCCAGTGTGAATTCTCTGATGTCGAATGAATTCTCTGCTCTGGAAGAAGCCCTTTCCACCATTCATTGCATTCATATGGTTTGTCTCCAGTATGAAGTCTTTGATGCTGGCTAAGTTGTATGCTCCAACGAAAAGTTTTTCCACAGTCACTACATCCATGAGGTTTCTCTCCAGTGTGGATTCTCTGATGATCAGCAAGATGTGTGTTCTTTTGGAAGGCTTTGCCACATTCATTACATTCATAAGGTTTCTCTCCTGTATGAATTCGTTGATGCTGAATAAGCTGGGCATTCTTTCGGAAGGCTTTCCCACATTCATTACAAGGATAAGGTTTCTCTCCAGTACGAATTCTCCGGTGTTCATTAAGCTGTGTCTTCCAACGGAAAGTCTTCCTACATTTGTTGCATTCATAAGTTTTTTCTCTAGCATGAATTCTCTGATGTTGGCTGTGTTGTGTCTTCCAACAGAAGGCCTCCCCACATTCATTACTTTCATAAGGTTTCTCTATAGCATGAATTCTCTGATGCTTAGTAAGATGTGCGTTTTTTCGGAAGGCCTTCCCACATTCATTACATACATAAGGTTTCTTTCCAGTGTGAATTTGCTTATGCTGAGTAAGTTGCGTTTTCTGGTGGAAGACCTTCTCACATTCATTACGTTTTTAAGGCTTCTCTCCAGTATGGACTCGTTGATGTTGAACAAGATGTGTGCTCCAACGAAAACTTTTCCCACATTCATTACATCCATGAGATTTCTCCCCTCTGTTCTGCTGACTCTCTAACCTAGTTCTGTATTTCCAAGCTCTTTCCAACTCAGAGCCCCAAGGACCATCCATGGTGAGTCTCTCCTGGGATGACTCTTCCACATGTAAGTCCAGCTTGGAAAATAATTGCTTGGTTTCTGCCTTACTCTCCCCATCTGAAAAAAATAAAAAGTATAAATATTTCCATTTTCCTCTGTATTATACTTAGCCCTGCAGTGTCTTCTGTATGCTCTACCAAGAAAAATGACTGTCAAACATTAAAATACAGAACAAATAATACCAGTCATGTCCATGTAGTCATTTATAGTTCATTAAAACCTTTCTCTTTGAACTTATTATTGAGAAGATGATTAGTGAACATGTAGAAAAATAAGCAGTGATTCCCTGACTTCTTCAAGAACAAGACAGGCTGCATGAGCCTCAGTTCCTTGTTAGTGGGATTATGGAATGGGTAGATCAAGGGGAGATAGTGGATTAAGTTTAAGTAGATGTTGATGAATTTTCTCACATCAAGCACAGAGTACAGACTATACTACCCAAATTACTTTATCAGTTTTACAGAAACAATGAAAATACCAACAGCTTCTTCGTAGAAATCGAATACTCAAAATTGGCATGGAAGGACAAAACGGCATTAATATCACAGGGGCTCGATGGAGAAAAAAGGAGGCGGGGCCTTGCCCAGCCAGATCTCCAAGGACACTCCAAAGTAGGATTTACATAGAAAAAAACCCAAAAGTTTTAACCAACCTCGGCATGGAGACCAGTGATTTCGTGAGTAGAAGCTGTTTCCCAGGGAGTAAACGCCCTCTATCACTCTGATCAGCCCTTGTGCACCTCCGCGGGTCCTAGGGGGCTGCCTGCAGGGTCACACAACTGGTGTGTGTGTGTCTAAGGGCTGGCTATCATGTGTCGTGGCAGGAGAGGAAGGAAAGTCTTCCTAACCAGGAGGCCAGCTCTTTATCCACGACCCTCCCCTGAGAATTAATGAGAAGAATAGTTTGTGCGTGGGTGCGTACGATGAAACGGAGACAACGGGCAGACCACTAAGCTGTGTTTGACCACAAACAGTGGGGACGAGAGAATCATTTGGTGAAAAGTGCTGGGGAATGGGCTTTGAATCGTCTGCCTCGGCGCCGTCTGCCTTCTCGTCCTCTGCTCCTAATCCCATAGAACTCAATGGAGCCGTAGGAAGCCGCTGTCAGCCTGCCAATCCACAAGCATTTACCCAGCGCTTACCGTGCGCCTGGCACGGGTCCCTGCCCTCCGGAGCCCACTGAGACCATGGGCAAGACCATGAGCATCAGACAAGTTGTAAGCAGAGTAGATGGAAAGAGATCTCAGAGCGGGGCTGGAAGCGGCAGAGGTGAGCCGCAAGTTCGCTTCCAACTCGGAGGAAAGCCTAGAAGGTAAGGAGGCTGGAGCAGAAGAGGATCGGAGAGAGCATTTTGTATCTGTTCTCGGAGGTAACAGGGAGCCCCTGGAGGTTACTGAGGAATGGGTGACGTGGCCAAACCCGTGCTTGGCGGCTGAATGGGCGATGGGCTGGAGGGGCGGGATGGAGGCAGGCGGACCATAGTCCGGGTCCTAGGTGATGGGGCCGGCACCGGGGTGAGGGCACGTTGGAGAGATGCCGTGATGGGATAAATGACAGGCCCTGGCCGCAGCAGGCCGAAGATGACACTGAGGTTCTGAGCCTGAGTGACTGAGAGGACGGTGGACGCACGGTAACTGGGACATGAGGAAGAGGGGAGGGGATGTGTTCAGTTTGGAGTGTCTACGTACCAGTATTTCTTAGAAGGAAGAAACTAATTTTCAAAAACCACCTGAAAAAGCATTCAAACTGTCTAGCAATCGGAGAAATTCAAATAAAAACAATGGAACCCTCGCCTTCCTCCCACTAAATCAGCAAAGATCGCTAAAAAGGACAAAAGGAAGGAGCCGTCATCACGCTACTGACAGAAAAACTACACAGAGAAGCGACAATTCTTCACGGCCCTTGGTCCAAGAAGCAAGCTGTACCAGGACTGTGTCTCAAGAACGTTCTTCTAAAAAGCAAAGTATTGGCTTCCAGAGAAGTATTCTAAAGAGCTTTCTTTCTAACAACTCACGGCTCCAGTGAGGGAGTTGAGGGGCCAATGTGGTCTGGAACCAAGGAGAGGGATTTGAATCCAGCCCTCGACGCTGCGGACAAATCCTGTTGGTTCCGTGGGCCTGTTTCCTCACTATTACACGAGAGGGCCGGTCCGCGGCCCCCCCCCCCAGTCCCTGACCTTGACCCCTGACAGTCTGGCACAGCCACCAGCACGGGGCTGGTCATCACCGATCATGCTTGAGTATGGCTCGAGCTCCCCAGCGATCCCCGGCTGCCTCTGTGCTCCCCCGGCGTCAGCCCCTTTACCTCTCACAACCAGGCTGCGAGGACGCTGCTGGCATCAAAACAATACGGCACACATCTATGTCTAAGAGACAGCCTCAGTAACAGAACCCTAAAACACACAAAAAAGAAAGAATCCGACAGGTCAGCTGGGCTATGGTTCGGCCCCAGTTCTTGGGCATGCTTCCCAGTGGCCGGGGCGGGGGTGGGGCTAGTCCTGTGAGGTCGCTGATGCAGGGAGCTCCAGGAGAGAAAATGCCCTCCACCAATGCAGAACCACCCAGCCTGGATGTAGGAGACCGGGCGTCTTCTCAACGCCTTAGCCGGCCCTCTGCCCACCAAGCCAAGCGCCTCTAAGTAAGTGAAATTAAAATACAAGCTTGATGCAAAACAAGAAGAAAGAAACACCACTAGACGGGGGAAGTGCTGCCTGCAAAGAGGAAGCATAGCATTTGACGGTGAGGCTTCACGGCTGCATCGGGATCCCTTATTTCCTGCAACACCCGCCTTACGAAGAAGGCACTTCCTTGGAGAGCGGCTGGAGCTTAGATAAGCCAAACGGCGACTCGCTGCGTCTGCCAGACGAGACAGGCCACAGACAAGACAGTCAAAACTGCAAGAGAGACGCTGGACCCCACGACAGAAACGGCCAACTTTCCAAAGAGAAGCCAAACTTCGTGGACAGCCTCTGCACGGACTCGCTCCCACGAGCACCTGGATGGTGCCCCTGGTTCACCAAAATGAGTCTCCCAAAGCTCACGTCCGAACGTGTCCCTCCTGCTCAGTAACCCACCATGGCTCCCTATCTCCTCCGCCCCCCAGTCCTCCGGGCTGTCTCTGACACAAGACCCTCCCTCCTCTGACTGCCTGCCATCCCACTGCGCTCCTCCTCCCCACCCCTGGCTTCCCCTGCCTCCGATGACATTCAGCCTGAAACCCTACCTTCTGCAGGCCTTCCTGGCCTGCTCTCCTCCTCCCCAGCCCCAGGCCTCCTGCCCGGGTCTGCCTCGCACACCACCCCTTCGGATCCCCTTTTATTAAAAAGATTTGTTCTGTAAAATCTGGATTCAGTCAAAAGGCCACACTTAAGGATTTAGAAGGCCACAGGTTCCCCATCCCTGGCTTAGCACAATGCCCGGTATAGAACAAGCACTTTAAGAAAGGGTTGTTGGCTTGATCTGCATTATTGCATAGAAAGATGCACCCAGAGGTTCCCAAATGGTGATACAGCCCCCTGGGGGGGGTAGTAGCCTTGGGTGCAACTGGGGGGTATTGAATAAAAATGGGGGGGGGAAGCATAAGGAAAGAAGAGAAGAAAATTTTGAAAAACCGTTTGTACATGTCTGTTGTATAACAGAGTTAAAGTCGGAGTGATTACATTAGTTTCCAAATAAACGCACAAAATATAAGTTATAACTGATCACTGGTCAAGTCCACTGACAGGTCTTAACTAGCAAGTGTGGGCAGGCCAGCATATTGCCCATTGTCTGGAAGTCCAGCATGCATCGGCAGGAACATCTGTGTGTAATGATTTGTTTACAGTACGACACTATATGGTTACATGACACAATACTGCGTCATCAAAATTTCAACACAGGAAAAAACCCACAAATTTACAATAAATCATTAAATTTAAGATGTCATTTTAAAAATTATATTTTTTTGAAATGATGTAAATTTCAAAACACAAAACCAACCTGTTACAGGGTATTTCCAAGAGTGTGCTGAATAATTTTTTTTTAAAGGGGGCAGTGGGGGGGGCAGCTAGGTGGCGCAATGGATAGAGTACTGGCCCTGAAGTCAGGAGGACAGGAGTTCAAATCTGACCTCAGACCAAACACTTGACACTTACTAGCTGTGTGACCCTGGTCACTTAACCCCAATTGCCTAAAACAAAACAAAACAAAATAAAAAGGGGGCAGTAAGCCAAATAAGTTTGGGAACCGCTGATGCACCTTTAAACAACTCTGAGGTGCTACCTCAACCCCCAGAGATGGGAAAAAATCATTCAAAGCCAAAGAACTTGGTGCCACCCAGAATTCCTTGCTGTCCCCCTGGCAAACTCATAGTGACTTTTTGAGAAGTGACCCAGAGTTCACAGTGAGAGTCACCCAAGGGACCGTGCCCTTTGTCCCTGCCCTGATCTAGTGGTGGCCAATGTTTAAGAAAAGCAAGCTCTACAAAGATTTTCAAAGCAGCATCCTTGGTGATGGCCCCAAACCCCAAAGTGAAAGCACCCCCAAGGGGACAATGAGGGAATGATCAAAGGGTGGTACATTTGTACAATGAGGTCCTATCCCTAGATTAAAAACGATGAGGATGGGGCGGCCAGGAAAGCTGATAGGAGTCTATGCAATAATGCAGAGAAGAGGCAGTGACCTCATGTACAGCAAAAGGAGGTCTGGGAAGAGTGACTTGTAAAGAAGGTAGGCGCGTGTAAGGCTGAACAGTGAAAGGATTCTTCCTACAAAGTCGGAAGCCAATCTCTGAAAAATGAGAGTGGAGAGATAGGGAGGGGGTCTCGGGAGGTGACCAGCTGGTCTGGGGAGGGGCGTGGGAGGAGAACCCTGCCGGGCTGAGCCTGGAGGGACTTGGGAGATGACCAGCGGGTGCTGAGAAGTCCTCCTCCAGGCCAGCTGCCCAGCACTTCAGGGGTGGCTCACCTGCATAGTCGATTCTCAGGGAAATCACCCTCCGGTCCCCAGGGTGTGTCTCCCTGCTCCAGCTGGCAGATCACACGGGGCTTGGAGAACGTGAGGCCTGTTCCATGGAAATGCAAAAGTACCTCCTTCAGCATTCTCTCCTCAGTCCTCGTGGCAGGATTCCCTAGCAAGGCCCAGACAGTGCCACAGGGCAGCCCAAAGGACTTGTGGGAAAGATGGGGCATGTCTGAGCTCAGGAGGAAGCGGCAGGCCCTGGGACCAGGGCCCTGCTGAAGGCAGAGGCCGCGGGTGAGTCTCTGACCACAGTGGACGAGCTAGGAGACCACACCTCGATGTGGCCACCAAAGGCCTTCCCTGGGAGAGCCTTCTGCATGGCCAGGATGGCTCTGCCCCATTCTGAGGCCCTGGGGCAGCCGCCCTTACCCAGGCACACCAGGTTCCTGTAGTTTTTCAGCATTACGTCCTGGTACAGGGCTTTGTGGGTAGGCTGCAGGCACCCCCCACTCCCTCTGGGTGAAGTCCACAGCCACGTCCTGGAAGGTCATGGGCTCCTGAAACACCCAAGATGCGTCTGTGGGGGGAGGGAAGCTCCCAGGGCCCCAGCCCAGGAGAAAAGCAAAAGTTCCCTTGGGGCCCACATCACCATCCCTAGGGCCTCTGATGGCCACCCAGCCACTCTCCACTCCATTCTTCCTTCTCTCCCGCCTCCATGAGCCCTCAAGGGAGCACTGAAGTGCCCAGAGAGAGGGGCCTGGAGCCAGGAACACCCCAGTTCTAATCCAGCCCCAGACACTCGTGGGACAGGTCACCGTCTGCCTCAGTTTAATCAACCATAAAATGAGGGTAAAAATAGCACTACCTCTGAAGGTTGTGAGGATCAAATGGGGTATTTACACAGTGCTTACGGCAGTGCCTGGCATACCGCAGGGACTTGATAAATGCTTGTGCCCTCCCCCCATCTTTCTCATTCTCTGCTGCACAGTTAGCATTGCCTGAGTGGTTCTCTGACCCGCCCACTCACTCAGGGTATCATATGAAGCCCCATCTGGGTCTGTATCTCTTGCCTGTTTTCTACATCGATTTTCTTTTCTTTTTTTGGCATGATGGTCTGCGGGGCATTTGTATAGTATTCCTGTTTTTCTGCATTTGCTTTTGTTCTCTAGCACAAGGTCTCTTCTGGTCCAGTGCCACATGGTGCTAAGAAGTATGCACATTCTTGAAGAACCATTCAAAGTACACCAATCTGGCCAGATCCTTTGGTCCTGTTTTGGGCGGAACAGGACAGCCTTTATCTTAGAGGGGAGGAACTCTTCCCTTTGCATCCCCAGTGCCTGCATTATAGCAATGGTGGAATGGACTTGGCAATCCTGTTCCTTCGCCCTTTCTGAATGCATGAGTTCCCCTTCTGGCTCCTTTCCTGGTTCCTCTTGGTCTCCCTCAGGCTCCAGTTCTGAGGTGCCCTTCCTCCACAGGCTGGAGGCCTTGGCTTCATTGCAATCCTCCATTGTTAGCTATTTCCTGGGTTGGCTTTTGGCTTACCGATTGGTCCTGCCACTATATTCCACTGGATTATCTAACTTATTCCCACTTAAAATCAGGGTTGGTAGGTTTTTGTTTCCCACCATTTATCTGTTACACATTGACTTTGTCTCCTTGCCTTATTAAGTAAGGGCCAATTTATGAGCGCTGGGCCTGAAGTCAGGATGACCTGAGTCCAAATTCAGCCTCAGATACTTCCTAGGTATGTGACCCTGGGTAAGTCACTTAATCTTGTTTGCCTCTGTTTCCTCATCTGTAAAATGAGCTGGAGAAGGAAATGGCAAACCAGTATCTCTGCCAAGAAAAGCCCAAATGAGGTCCCAGAGAGTTGGACGTGATGAGATTACTTAACAACAACAAATTTTATGCTGGTCTGGTCTCCCTGGCTCTAGCCTAGTTCCCATTTACCCAGCCTATCCCAAGTTTTTGCAATTTGCTTAAAGTGCTCAATTCTCTTTATTATTTCTAACTGATCTATTTTGATAGCTATGCTCTTTATTAAACTGTGAATGATTTTGACCCTTCTCTTTTCCTACCCACTGAATCATGGGGCTTGCACTCTCCACCCCTATTCCCTCTTCTCCAAGAATTGTTCCTTTGTCTCCCCTGCCCCCAGCCTGATACTCTGGTCTGCATTTTCTTCTGCAGTCCATAGCATCCCCACATCCCGTAGTGACTGGTGCATCCACCCTTGGTGGGGGGGGGACATTTTTAGAGGCTGTCTCTCCTTTGTCCCATTTC